TGGGACGGCGGCTGCGGCTGGGGCTGGTCCTGCTGCTGCTGGGGCTGCTGCTCCTGCCCACCGATGGTAGTCCCCTCAGGCGGACTACCGTCACCACCACCACGACCACTACCACCTGCGTCACCACCCCTACCTCCCTGGCGGCCACGGCCACCGCGACGCGAGCGCTGCTGCGGGTGGACAGCAGCAGCCGTCTCGGTAAGAGGGGTCGCCGTGGCGACCGCAGCCGAAACGTCAGTGAACGTGCACGGGGAAGGGGCACAACCGTGAAAGATAGAGACTGCCGGCGCACCGCTCGACTGAGCGATAGTGCGCTGGCGAGTCTCGATCTCAGTGAGGGTGTCGACAAAGGCGGTCAGGGTGAGGTCACCCGGGTGCTGGCTAAGAAAGTGGTCGCGAGCACTAGCGAGGCGGTCTGGCAGGCGCATAGCGATAAAATAGAGCGTCATGCAGAAAGGAGGGGGGAGCGCAGTGAGCTGGGCAGCAGTGCTGGCAGTGCGATAGCGAGTCTCTAGGGCACGCAAATGAGTGGCAAAATCTGCGACAGTAGGGAAGGCAGCCAGGTCTGGGAACAGCATCGGAAAGAGCAAGCGGCCAGCAGAAGCAGAGGCAGGGGTGGAATAGCGAGCAATAACGGCGTCTAAATAAGCTTTGGCCGTTTCAACAGTAGCAAAACGCGAGCGCTCAGACACAGGGAGGGCGTGACTAATAGCAACCTGAGCTACTGCATCGCGTGAGTCCCAGACCGCACAGGCTAGCGCAGAAGTAGAGAAAGCCTCACGGTCATCAGAGGAGGGGTCAGCAGGGAGGGGAGTAGGTGCAGGGGGACGGGGGAGCAAGCCATCAGCATGGACAACCAGAGAGTGGCCATCCTGGCGCTGACCTGTAAGCTGGCGGCGAAGATCGGAGAGCCAGGCGGCGAAGTCAACCGCGTGGCCCTCAGCGTCCAGGCGGAGCACAAAGTCAGCCATCGTGCAGGGTCAGCGGCACAGCTCCTCAGCGACACAGCGGCACAGCAGCACAGCTCCTCAGCGGCACAGGAGCACAGCGGCGCGGGGACACGGCGGCAGCACTCTCCAGTAGGGCAGCAGCTAGGCGTCCCAGCGCAGGCAAGCAGAAGACACAGGGCCCGAGAGGACACGGCAGGCCGAGCAGGGGAGGCGGGCAGGTGCTCTAGGGCCGGGCTGGTGCTGGGAGGGGCCAGGCTGGTGCTGCTGGGGCCGGTCGGGCACGAGGAGGGGCCGGGCAGCGCTGAGGAGAGGCCGGGCGGCGCTAGGAAGGGGCCGGGCGGCACTAGGAGGAGGCCGGGCGGCACTAGGAGGAGGCCGGGCGGCACTAGGAGGAGGCCGAGCGGCACTAGGAGGAGGCCAGGCGGGCGAGCGCTAACAGCAGGCGCGACAGGGGCCAGCGGGCGCGACGGGGCCTAAGGGGCTCGACGGGGCCCAGCGGGCACGACGGGGCCCAGGGGGGGCGCGACGGGGCCGAGGAGGCGCGACGGGGACCAGCGGGCACGACGGGGCCCAGGGGGCCGCGACGGGGCCTAACGGGCGCGACGGGGCCCAGGGGGGGCGCGACGGGGCCTAGCAGGCGCGACGGGGCCTAGGAAGCGCGAAGGGGCCCAGCGGGCGCGACGGGGCCTAGGAGGGGCGCGACGGGGCCGAACGGGCGCGACGGGGCCCAGAGGGGGGGGACGCGACGGGGCTTAGGAGGCGCGACGATGCCTAGGAGGCACGACGGGGCTCAGCGGGCTCGACGGGGCCCATGGGGGGCGCGACGGGGCCTAGGAGGCGCAACGGGGCCCAGCGGGGGCGCGTTAGGGCCTAGGGGTCGCGACGGGACCCAGTGGGCGCGACGGGGCCCAGGGGGAGCGCGACGGGGCCTAGGAGGCGTGACGGGGCCCAGCGGGCACGACGGGGCCCAGGGGGGGCGCGACGGGGCCTAACGAGCGCGACGGGGCCCAGGGGGGGCGCGACGGGGCCTAGGGGGCGCGACGGGGCCTAGGAGGCGCGACGGGCGGAAGCGGTAGGCGGGGGGATCCTAACCTAAGCGTGATACCATGATAACGTAGAAACGAATGATTACTAGAGGTGGAAACCTAGAACAAATACTAGTTGGTTGTACTCACTAGAAGCATACCTCAGTCTAGCCTATAACTTCTACATAGATAATATGTATAAGTTGACACTTACACACCTAACAACAACCCACAAAAATTAGCTAAGTCTTGATAGGCAGTGACAGCACAAAAAAAAAACGGCTTAGTCCTATTGTACACAAGTTATCCCCCCTCCCACACTCCCACTACCCATAAAAAAGGCTAACGGTCAAGTCATAGAAGGGTACTAGCGACAATGCTCCCTTCTTAAGGAAAGTTTTTTTATTGCCCGTGTGGTCAACTGAAAGTCCATCAAACTTTGACGGCCACGATTAATCGCGATCGTTTCGACAAATTTCAGCCGTTAGATGATCGCGTATGATTAACGTCCTCGATTTGCCCATGGCGCTGCAAGCATGAGAGGTTTCTGCCACTGCCCCATTCGCCTCGATCCCATCCCCACCTCTCCCTCAGTTTCGCTTCCCCTCTCCCCTCTGTTTCGATTCCCCCTTCCCCTCTGTTTCGATTCCCCCTTCCCCTCCGTTTCGCTTCTCCCATTCCTCTACTGTATTTCGAAACACCCCCCCTTCCCCCACTTTTTCCCTCCCCGTTCCGCTTCCTCACTTCCCCTATGTTTCCATCCTCCCCCTTCCCCTCTGTTTCTCTCTTCCCCTCCCCTCGGTTTGATTCCCTCCCCTTTTTCCCCCCATTTTTTATTCCCCCCTCGTGTTGAAGGCAACCCTGAATGCGTTCGGTGAACCCTGGGATTTTCAGGGTTCTTGATTTCTGAACACTTACAAATCAGGGTAAGCAAATTTTGAACACTGAGCCCTCAGGGTAATTTTTTTTTTTTAGTCGACAGCTCAGGGGGGGTTTTTTTGAAACGTCAGGCCTGTTAAGGAGTACACTTCCGCGAGAATATGATGACCATTATGCGCAAAACAATAGCACACTCAATCCTCGTCACTGGCGCCCCGATACGAAATATTTCTACTCAACATATCAACTGTTCAACTACTTACCTCGATAGTAGCTGAACCACTACATTAACGGGCATGCCTGTATATATGACTTTAGTGTAGCATTGAGGGCAACTTCGTTTAGAGGCGTTGACTAACTCTTTATTACGCACATATAATTGTTATAAAAGCTTAGCTTATCACCATTACAAAAAGTTTTATCACAATACAAAGCATGCACAACAAGGTGGTTAATTTAGCTGCAATTACCTAGAGTTTTGCGCAGATTCCCTCTCCTCCTAACGCCAACTTGGTGTATTAGCTAAGCTTGCCTACGCATACCACCAGCACCTCTTTCCCAGCCTACACAAGCACCACTGCAGCATGGCCAACTGGCTGGTAGCCGTTCGCTGCACACACGAACATTGTCAAGCACAATCTCAGATGTGAAAGAGCGGCCTGCATCCACCCTTGCACAGGCCCGCGTAAGTCTGGGTTCAAAGCAATTCCACGCAGACGTCCACTTACCCCATGGCAGTTGCACAAAATTACCAACGAATGAAGACCAGCTATACAGGGAGGGGAGGGGGAGGGGGGGATGGGAGGGGGGAAGGGAGGGGGGGACAATGAGGATGGTGAGGAAATGAGGGGAGACAAAGGCTGTAAGGTAAAGAGCATGGAACAAGGTGCCAGTCAAAGCAGGGGGGAAACAGAGTGCGGCAAGAAGGACGCAAGGAGGGCGGGCGGGGGGGGGGGGATGACGAGTAGGATCCGGACACAAGGGGGGCAATGAGAAAGTGCTACAACCATACCTGAATACGGCGAGGAGCCACTTGAGCTTGATAGGGATGCGCGGCGAGCACCGCGGGAAGCTCACACATCCCGCTTGTCGTGCACCGCGAGTAGCTCGTGCGTCCCGCCCAACCTGCATCGCGAGAAGCTCACGCGCCCAACGTGCACCGCGAGAAGATGCGCGAAAGGCCTAGGGGAATGGTAAGGAGGGAAAGTATGGGAGGAAGATGGAAAAAGATTATGCTCATAGGAATAGAAAACCCAAACAGAAACAACAGGCACACACGAGGAAGAGAATGGGGGAAAATACATGGCGATACCGAGGACTAGACAGTTGCAATAGTTTAGGTAGCTGAAAAAAACATACTACGCAGCGCTGGGCGCATTTCTGTCTAAGTAAAATGCTCGAGCGGGAAGAACGTCGACAAGCATGAGGGACGACGAACTGTGAAAGTTGACGGGTATTGTGTTGAGTCTGTAGTATATGTGTGACTGGGATTTGTTGTCACAGTTAGGTGTTGTTATCTGGGTCGTATCCAGTGAGCCGAATGGAGGCAAAACTTCGTACCAAAAGAGACACTAAAGGAAGCTGTTTCATATCTCATGTGTCGAGAGCTGATGGCACCGAGTATTCTGTACTTTAATCCCAAGACGCCGAGCACGCCCTACAAATTTTTGGGTGTACACACGAAGGCAGGAGGTTCGCTCGAACTTGGATAAGTCGAGAAATCGACCAATGGGTATAAACCCAACGATGCATTCATTGGTCAGCCAGTCGAGGCTCACCCATCACTTTTAAACCCCTTATACACGTTTCGTCAAAAGACAAACATCATTTTCTTGTTCTGTCCATCGTATGACACGCTTCTACACGAAATTCGCTTCTCGGGTCAAGTCTAGTCTGAGGGCTCAGGCTCGGCTAGCGACTGGGTCCGGGCAAGACCTGTAAAGTTACCTGCAGGTCACCTCCAACTGAGCTTGCGCCCTATTGGCTGGTTGGACCCCACGCGACAATTGACGAACATTTCGCGAGTGTCGTGCGCGTCGCCACTACCCGCAGGTAACCCCGAGGGGTCTTGCGTGGAACTTTGGGTAATCTGGGGTGAGGTTACCCACCAGTGTCCCACACTCCAAAGGGCAGAATGGGTTTCAGGAATTTTGGGATGCAGGCGCAAGCACGCGGGCGGACGGCGGAGGAGGCGGAGATGGGGCGCGCGCTGTGGCCGGAGACGGAGGCGGGGTTTGAGGCGCGGCTGGCGGAGTGGCAGGCGCAGGGCGCGCGGATGCAGAAGGTGGCGGAGAGGAGGAGGGCGAAATGGGCGAGACAGGCTAGGAGCAAGTGGGCCCGTGCGCAGAGGGCACGGGCTAAGAGCAAGAGCAGTGACGTTTCTGGGGATGGTGGCAATGTTGGCAGTGGTGGCAGTGGTGCTTCTGATGCTGGTGCTGCTGGTGGTGCGAGTGGTGTTGGAGTGGCGAGTCTGACAAAGGACGAGCTGACGGACCTCATGCCCGGAGGCACGCGATCCTGGCAGCACCTCAAAGCCACCACCACTGCCTGCCATCCCTCCTCTTTTCCCACCACTCCCACCACCACTCCCTCTTCCCTTTCTCCCATCTGATGCGGAGGAGAGAGAGGAGGGAGAGGAGAGAGTGGAGGAGGGAGAGGAGGAGAGAGTCGCTTCCGGAGTATGGGGCGCTGCTAGGGAACGACCTGCTGTGCCCGGCTCTTCTCATCTACAGGTGCGTTTGGGGTCCCGTTGGGGTCCCGTTGGGATCCCGTTGGGGTCCCATTGGGGTCCCGTTGGGGTCCCATTGGGGTCCCGTTGGGGTCCATTCGGGGTTCGTTTGGGGTGCCTTCGGGGTTCGTTTTTTATGTCCCGTTGGGGATCGGGAACGACCTGCTGTGCCCCTCACTGCTCATCTACAGGTGCGTTTCAAAGCCGCTTTGGGCTCGTTTGGGCCCCGTTTCGAGTTCGTTTGGGTGCCGTTTTGGGATTGTTTGAGGGCCAGTTTATGCTGGCTGCTGTGGTTATTTGCTGTTGTTGTTATTAGGTGCACATGAATGGACCTGCTATGCACCTGCGGCACCTGCTGCTGCTGCTGCTACTGCTGCTTGTGACGTCTTGTCTCCGGTGCTTCCTTTCCTGCTGTTCGCAGGTCCTACGGCATCCAGTTCACTCAGGCATCAGTGATCGGCCGCATTGACGTATTTCGCTGCGCGTTCACGAAGCTGGACTCACTGTTTGCCATGGCGCCCTGGGACTATGCATACCACCCGGGGGTCATCCGCATGGGCATGAGCGGCATTGGATTCAATCTGACCTCGTCTGAAAACATCATTTCCAACAATGACCTCTTCGGTGAGTGGGGGAGAGAGTGGGTTGCCACGGCACCGTGGTGGGACTACGCACTGCGCGGGGGTCATCCGCATGGGCATGAGCGGTGTGGAAGTGGGACTCGTGCATGGGATGGGAGGATGTTATTCCTAATAGCGACCTGTTTTCCCATTTTCAAGGCTCTTCATCCCCTTGCTGTTGCCAACACCCCAATCCTTCACATTTTCTCACAGCGGAGGTGCTTGGGGTGGAGCTAATCTACTACTTGTACGCATGCACCATTGGATGCGTCAGAGCCATGGCTGCCCCACCCATTCACGTTGCACTTAAAGAAACCAGCTTCCCAATCTATCACCACTCCTTACCGCCCAGGTGGATGCCAGGCATTGGAGCCATGCGACCCATGGCCGCCCATCCATTCAGGGCGCCTAAAAAAACCAACTGTCAAATCCTTTTCCCTTCATCACCATTCCTTACCCCCAGGTGCATGGGAGCTGATCTACGTGTGCCAAGGCACCACTGAACTGGAGCCGTGGCTGCCCCATCCATTGAAGGCGCTTCAAAACCCAACTACCAAATGTGTTCACCATTCTTTGCCATCAGGGGCCTGGGAGCTCATCTATCTCTATCGGGGCACCATCGGAGCCACAGTTCGCAACAACTTTTTGCACGACTACCTCTTTGCGGGCTTCAGGTGCAGTGTGGCGGTGCCTACAAAGAATAGAGCGGTGCGTTCTTGAAGGGTGCTTTTGAGAAGTGAAACGGTGCGGTGCAGTGTTGAAATGGTTCATCGTCTAAATAGTGTTGCTGTTACCGCGCTCTCTCTTTCTTACATAAGCAATCTCTTTCCAGGCACGGTGCAGCTCTGCAGTACCCCTTTCCATCTCCTGGGAGTGTGCCTGGGAACATCATCAGAACAAAATGCACTGTGCAGCACCACACCCTTTGCTGGCTGCTGATTCTCCGGCCAAAAAGTGCACCTGCCAGCCTTGTGTGCTGGGTGCAGGTGCTTGCAGAGGCTTAAATAAATGCTTTGGGTTCAGGTGTCTTAACAATGGCGTTTCATGTGCTCTGCTGTTGTCCGGGCAGGTGTGGTGCGGACGTGCACTTTGCATGGGACTGTGTGCTGACCACCGTGGCGCACAACTTTGTGTTTTCCCCTCAAAAGAAGAACCTCACGGGGGACTCAGCTGGCATCTACTTCTGCACGCACTGGTTCAACCCTGGTGAGCTTCAGCTAGCCCTGGTGAGACTTGATGCTGATCTACCTTTGCTGAGGTTCGACCCGTTGTGTCGTCTCTTTCCCCACTCATACACATATCCCCCACCCACTGGGACAACCTCACTGGCGACTATGCTGGCATCTATTTCTGCACGCACTGGTTCAACCAGGGTGTGTCTAAGTGAGCCCTGGTGAGGTGCAGCCTCTCCTATCGTCCCTTTCCCTCCTCATACACGCATCCCACACCCACTGAGTCAACCCTGGTTCAACTGCAACGCAGCACTCTCTTGTCCCCACTCGCCTCATGACCCCCTTTCCACCCCACCCCAGGTAACATGGTGACCTGCAACTACGTGATCGCCAGCGACCACTACTACCATCTTGACTAGTGCCTCGACTAACAATCACCCTGCCTTCCTCTCATGTTCGCTTATCCCCACCCCACCCCATGCAACTCGGTGACCTGCAACTATGTGATTGGCGGCAACCACTGCTACTACCTGGACTACTGCACGTCAGGCGTGGACGGGGTGAAGCTCAACAATGGCAAGCGCAACCACATCCGCAGCCTGCTCATGGTGGGGCTGGGGCAGAGCCCCGGCTACATCACGTGCTTCACATTTACTGTTAACCACTGCGGGAAGGACCCCGGATCGTACTGGGAGGCCATGAGGCAGCTCTACTACAACACGCCTGAGATCAACAAGGTGAGGGTAAATTGCCACATGAAAATCCTACAACGTGAGGGTAAATACCGTAATGTGCAAAGAGTGTGATGCCGTATTGGAAAGACATTGTCATAGCGCTTCACCTAGCATTGCATTCCCATCCCCCTCTTCTCCCATCTCGCTTTCCCTATCAGCAATCCCCATCTCCTCTCTCTCCTCTTCGTATCTCCACTGCTCCCCCCACCTCCCATCTCCGGCCTTCTCTCTCCCACCCCTCCCAGCACTGGCTATGGATGAAGCTTGTGTGTCGGCAGACACATGAGTGTGATCATAATCTAGTTTTGAGACATCTCTTTTGAGATGTCTCAAAACCACCCCTCTCAGCAATGGCCGTGGATGAAGCGTGTGTGTCAACAGACCCTTGAATCCCTCTCTCATCTGTCAAGTCTCCCCTCAGTCCACTTCCCCCCCCCCACTCTTCCGAGCAATGTCTGTGGGTGAAGTACATGTGCCAGCAGATGCACATGCTCCTCCTCCTCCTCCTTTTTCAAATCCCAACCCACTTGCCCTGCACTTCCCTCCCATCTCCCCCCCCCCCCCTGCCCCTCTCTCCACACCCCGTCAGGAATGGCCATGGATGAAGCACGCGTGTCGGCAGACGCGCATCGGTGCATACAGCTGCAACCCGCGCGGGCTCAATGCGCTCACGGGGCAGGAGACTGGAGCGTGCAGCGGGCTTGCGACAGAAAACGACGCCAAGTACATTGTGGTTGATCCCGACATGAGTCTGGATGCGGAGTACCGCTACTGCGAGCGAAACCCTGGAGCGCATCATTTGAACTGGCAGGTGGTGTACAGGTACGGTGGCAGCGAAATGAAATTCGCCGATTATAAAAATGAGGATTTTGCGGTTACGGAGGGGTCTGTAGTGCTGGCAAAACACCCGGAGTTTGTTTCGTGTCCGAGGAAGGATGTGGGGATCATGCCAGTGACGATTCATTCGTACTACAAGGATTGGAATATCCCGGAGCCGCCTTTCTTCCAGGCCATGTTGGATTTGCCTTACGAAATGGTGTTTAATAATGAACTTTACTAGGCTTTAGGTTCAGATATTCAGATTTTATGGTATGCCATATCGGCTGTTGGGCTGAGATGAGCCCGTAGGATCTTTGCAAAGACTAAGTCCCCACAGGGATGTACTTGCGGAAGCGAGGTGTAAGACTTAAATGAACCTCTTGCACTGGTACCGGTATGTGGGAACAAGAGAATTGATTATCACAATCAGCATAGAAGAATATATAGTTATCCTGGAGTACAGGATAGTTACTACAGCTGCAGTTGCACTATCGAACGTATAGCGACTCGATACCTTACAGTGGCGGTTGCTGTGCAGTAGGGCTGCTACACAACCTTCACGTGCAACTGCCACGCGTGTAGTTGCCACACGCTTTGGTTATGCGCATAGCTGCCACGCGTAACCTCTGCTGACTCGCCGTACTCGTCGTTGACCATTTCACAGTATCGCTTACGTCTCGATACTACATAAATGGGTTACTTCTCCAATTCTTTGTTTCCAACACTCCCCTACATTTCTGGAGTCTCGACGTCGACGTGGTCAGGGCGAGTAACTTGGCGCTGCCCTGTCAGCAGCATGCAGTAGTCGAACTTCGACTTCCCGACCCTTTTGGTCAGGTAATCTGCTGCCATCGCAGACGTGGGGCAGTAAGACAACTCAAGTCTCCCTTTCTCGATTTCGTCTTTCACAAAGAAGTAGCGCAGTGCAATGTGCTTCGTGCGGTTGGCGAAACCGTTCTTGTTCGCAATTCGAATTGCAGATTGGGAGAGCTGCGCCGCTACCTTGGGCTGCAAATATCCAGGGACAGAGCAGCGTGCACCATCACTCTCATACAGTCACACTTGGTGCGCCAGGTCCTTCAGAGGTTCGACCTTCAGTTCTCCTCCGCACAGCCCACCCCTCTACCAGTGGATCACAAGCTGTTGGTTCCGGTTCCTAATGATCTGGTCGAGCCTAGTGGTCAGTTTACTGAGCTTATGGACTGCCTCATGTACCTGATGGCTTGCACTCATCCAGAACTCGCATACCCTCTTACTATTCTCGCTCGCTTTGTTGCGACAAGCAAACACCGACCCTACCACTGGTCGGTGTTGCGATATCTAGGAAGTACATCAGGGATGGGGCTAATGCTGGGAGGACGCAGGCCAGTGGTTCTCACAGAGCACACAGACGCTTTGTGGGCGGACGACGATGAGACGCTCAGGTCCTCCCAGGGCTACTGTATTAGCCCGGGTGCAGACGTTATCTCATGGAGGTCCACCCGCTCCTCGTCTGTTGCACAGTCCAGCTGTAAGGCTGAGATCTATGCTGGTGCCATGGCGGCACAAGAGCTTCGCTGGCTTACGTTCTTGTTTACTGACTTAGGTGAGCGGCATAGCTCTACCCTGGTCCTGTATGCTAACAACAGGGCCATGATCCTTCTGTGTCAGGAGGCTCGACTAAAGGGCAAAGTGAAGCACATCCAGTTGCGGTACTTCCTCTTGCCGAGCTACAGCAGTGCGGCCAGGCACGCATAGTACAGTTAGCCTCCGGTGCTGATATCTATACTAAGGCGCTTGCGCTTAAAGTTGATCAGTGGCACTGCTTATAGCCTTAGTTGCTACAAACGCTCTGGGAGACAAGCGTTTGGCGTTCAAACGCTAGCGTTTGAACGCAAACGCCAAACGCACCCAAAAACGCAAACGCTCTCTGGGATTTTTTTCGGGCTGCCCCCCCAAAAAAAACACGAGATTGTCGTTGGAGAATAGCCTTAAGGATAGGTGATTTACATGACATATGAGGATGCTGGCTTAAATGTTAAGCACGGTTCTTTTTTATGAGACAAAATGCTTGCTGGTAGAACCCCCATGTTTCCCCCCTCCCCCACAGGAATCTTGAACCCCTGCCCGGGTAAAAATTTTACCCCTGCCCGGGCAAGCGTTTGCCTAGCGTTCACATACATGCTGCCGAGCGTTTAGCGTTCAAACGCTAGCGTTTAAACGCTAGCGTTCAAACGCCAAACGCGTTTGTAGCAACTAAGCTTATAGCTTGGTCTAGTTCCAGTAGCTCCTCACTCGCTAAAGCCCAGCACCCTGTGGCCACTTGGCGTTTGTTTGACGCTCACTTGGGGCTTCCAAAAAGTTATCCGAATGTGTTTGTAGCGGCAGCCAATAAAAATGCCCTGTGCAATGGTGATGTTCTAACCTCGTTTCTGATCTCGCCATACTAGGCTACGCAATGACATCAATAATGGGCTTTGCATTTGTGATTCTGATCTCACTTTGTAGGATTTTCTCTATATATGACGTTAACATTCATATATTTGGTGTTGAGAAATATACAAATTGTAATCTAGCTAGGGGTTAGACCTATATGGGGTACTACCCCTTAGATTTTCCAAACTGTATGCCTCTGCTAGTCACTTGATTTTCCCGACATGGTGTAGAACTAGGCGCTCCTAGCCGTCACGCTTCCGCCCTAGGTGCTCTCCACTCCCCTCCCACGCTACCTTACCTCATTAGCCTTAGTTAGATTGTAGCTTGTTCCTCCAGCCTGCGCTCTATTCTAGGCTCTCGTCATATACTGCCGCCCTCCAGTCGCATTGCCAGCATTTTGCCGCCAGCTCGCCGCCGCCAGCAGCGCGCTCATCCCCCACCCACTCGACGCCAGCTTGCCCCCCACCCCCTCCCCCCCCCTCACCCTGCAGCTTGATCGCAGCGCGCCGCCGCCAGCCAGCTGCCAGCTTGCTCGCTACCAGCAGCCGCTGCGAGCGCGCCACAGGCAGCAGCTCGCTAGCTGCTACCCGCTCACCGCCAGCCGCTCGCTTGCAGTGAACTACACCAAGTGAACTACGCGGGCCTGGCAACGCTGCTGTAGCTCGCGCAGGAGGACGTATCGCAGCTGGATATGCTTCGCTCTGCCCTCAAGTCGAGGCTCCTAACGCAGGAGGATCATGGCCCTGTTGTCAGCGTACACGACCAGGGCAGAGCTAGGCCACTCACCTAAGTTGGTGAGCAAGAAAGTCAGCCAGCGGAGCTCCTATGCCGCCATGGCACCAGCGTAGATCTCAGCCTCACAGCTAGACCGAGCAGTGATTGGACCTCCACGAGATGGCACCTGAACCAAGGCTAAAGCAGTAGCCCTGGGAGGACCAGAGTGTCTCAGCGTCGTCTGCCCAAGAAGTGTCTAGGTGCCCAGTAAGGACCACTGGCCTGCAACCTCCAAGCATGAGCCCCATGCCCGATGTACTTGCTAGATAACGCAAAACCCTCTTAGTGGCCGACCAGTGCTGTGGTCGGTGTCTGCCAGTGGCCACAAAGCGAGCCAGGATGCTGAGAGGGTATGCGAGATCTGGGCGAGTGCAAATCATCAAGTACATGAAGCAACCCACCAGCTCTGCGTAAGGGCCACTGGGCTATACTGACTCCTCAAGAACAGGAGCTGAAAGCCTATGGTCTACTGCCAGAGGTGTGGGCTGTGCAAAGGAGAACTGAAGGCCGAACCTCTGAAGGACCTGGCGCACCAACTGTGACTGTGTGAAAATGATGGTGCGCGCTGCTCTGTCCCTGGAGACCTCCAGGCCAATATAGCGGCGCAGCTCTCCTTGGTCAATAGAGGGGTTTCTCCTTAGCAGCTTGGCCTTCACGGAGGCCAGCGCGTCTCTGTCTGCAGTAGCGAAGAGCAGGTCATCTACATAGACAAGGATGTAGAGCGGAGTATGGCCAGCACGAACGAAGAGCGAGGGGTCTGCAGAGGACGGAAAGAACAGAAGGTCAGCTAGTGTAGACCGAGCGCTTAAGAAGCCACTGGGTCCCGGGAGGGAAGGTACCAGTGAAGCCCTGTGGATGGCGCAGGTTGGCCTGCTCATGTAGGCTGCCCTGAAGAAAAGCAGTAGAGAAGTTGAGGGAGTGGAGCTCGTAGTCATCCTGTGTTGCTACCAGTAGCAGTGCCCGAAGAGTAGTCATCTTTGGGGTCGGGGCAAAGGTCTGAAAGAAGTCCACCCCATGGCGATGACTGAAGCCTCTAGCCACGTAGCACGCCTTGAACACATGCGGCTCTCTAGAGGGGCGCTTCAACTTGAAGAGCCACTGACCATTGACTACGTTCACCCCAGGCGGGGGAACTGCGTCGACGTAAGTGCCAGTGGATCTGCAAGATGCCATCTCCTGCTCCATGGCAGCTATCCACTGTGAGGCCCAGGGTCCCGAGGTCGCCTCAGCGTAGGTGCGAGGGGTCAGAATGTCAAAGGCGTCTGGGTCACCCTCAGGGACTAGCAGCATGGAACACAGATGGGGAGCAGCCTCAGACAGGAAAGCAAGCTCGTACTGCCTGTCCTCTAGGATGTCACTGCCAAGGGCAGCAACACCCCCGGCGAACGGAGGACGGACAAGGTCAGTGACCAGAGCGGTGGCGTAGTCAAGGCGGCAAGTAGAGGCGAAGACAGCGACAGCCGCGACAAGAGCGTCAAGACTCGAGACAGGAACAGACGGGACTGTAACGAAAGAGGCAAGGACCCGAGGAACAAGAGGATGAGCGGCACGAAGGTAGTCAGATAGAGGGGGAGGCGCGACAACAAGCGACGACGGAGGAGGTGATGGGGGAGGGGAGGACGAGATGCATGGGAACGTAGCAACATATAGTAGGGTGAGAACGCGAGACAAGAGAGACAGAACGAGCACGAGAAGGATGGCGAGACCCGACATGAGACAAAGGCGTCGGGTCAGGAGACAGAAGGGGAGACACAAGAGGGGAACGAGGGGGGGAGACGAGCCGGGGACGAGTCTAGAGGAGGGAACACACTGCCGTAGACAGGGAGAGGAGGAGGGGGCAGGGGAGGCGCGGGCGAACAGGCGGGGAAGGGAAGGCCGAGCAGGAGAAGGCGGACACCGGCGGCGACTGCTGCTGCTGCTGCTCGACGCCGACACCTGGACCGCCAGCAACACCACGGCTACCATCGAACCTCTCCACTCCAGCACCCCCAGAACAGCACCCCCAGAGCCGGCATGCCCTCCAGCACCAATGCCACCCCCAGTCCCACCAGGACAAGCCACGACAAAATCCCAAAACGAGCACCCTCCTCAACGCCAACACCCCCAGAGTCCACGAATGGCTGCTGTTGCTGCGGCGGCGGCGACCGCTGCTGCGCTGGCTGCCACGATGGCT